CAAACCACATCACTGGCCGACGTCCTGCACTTCGCAATTGAGGTGTCGTGTGTGCTTTTCGCGTGGGAAACGAAAGATCGAACGGACAAAGTACGTGAATTGCGAAATCGGACTCTGCATTTCCGGATTTTTTTGAGAATTCCACACGAAGGCAACATTCCGGCAGATGACGTAGGCGGGAAGACAGACACTCCATGCAGATGGTGGCCAAAAATTGTGTAAGTAGGACATAATTTTCTACTTTAAAATTTAATTTTATATTACGTTGCCACGCGCGGACTCTGCGACACCATATGGCGTCATTCGTACAGGGGACTTTCTTTTAACGACGACATACGTTGTCTTTAGTCGGATAAAGGATAAATTGGAGCAATTTTAAACCTATTACTAAACTATCTCANTACTGTGGAGGCTCAAGAGGAGAATCAGGAGTTAGCGGCAGGGGAGCGAGACCCCGCAAACCCCCTTAGCTTAGGCAGCGCGAGTGAGACTCCAGAAAAAGACACAATGCGACCTCAAGAAGCAGAATTAGGGACGCAGAGCCAGGCCAACGAAGTGTCAGAGAAAAGTGATTCCAACCCACCAGCTTCTGTAGACAGTACAAACCAGCTACAACAATTGTTATTAGAGTTTTTCGCAAGTGTTAGAGCAGATCTGAGTAGCCACCGAGAGGATATTCAGGAAAGTGTTAGAGCAGATTTAAGTAGCCACCGAGAGGATATTCAGGCGCAGTCCATTAGTGTCAAGGCTGATTTAAGTGCTAATCAAGAGAATGTGAGAGCCGAACTCCAGTCCAACCAAACTAAATTCGAACAGTTACAGGAAAGTGTTCGGTCAGATATGAGACAAGTTAGGTCAGACATACGAGCAGAAAATGAAAAGTTACTGCAAAGTTTCGAGGCTCAAACTCGGGAAATCAGGAAGGAATTAGATATTAGGCTGGAATCCGAAGCCAGATGGGTCTCACAGCTAGTTACGCAGGTGGAAACTGAAACAGCATCTGAATTTGCAGCAGTCAAGAGGCAGCAGCAGAGCATAGGTAACGAGTTCGACTCTAGATTAGAACAGTCCAATACAAGCACCCAATTGGTAGTTAATGAACTTGCAGATCAGATGCAGGAGCACATGTCTGAAATGAGCAATCAGATGGTACGACAGAAAGAGAGCCTAGAAATTTATCGAAGGAAACCACTCAGGAATTAGGAAGGAAATATGAGATGGTAAACGTAAAGGTTTTGGCATTACAGACTAAATTAAACGAAATGCCAGCCAGGCAAGCTTTAGCCACAGAGGCTCGAGTGGTAGTTCAGGACGCCGCATCTTTTTCCGCCGGAGCAGCCAATGATCCTGCGACGGAACCCGAAGTGTCTGAAGCAAGCGGTGGATTGGTCGGTAAAACAGTCAGCTGTACTCACCAGCCAGCCCCCAGCTATACATTGTCTAGTGATAGCAGCATGAATGGGTGTGTAGTGCAAGCCAACACAGAGAAGGTATCCTTGTTGGGTTATCTAAGTAACTCAGAATTTCCATTACCTCTTTATGATGATGCAACAGAGACCAACCCCGTATTTCATTTTCGGAGGTTGGATGAATTTATTAACTTTCGCAATGTGCCAAAACCACTTCGTTCGGCAGTCGTATGCCGATCCATAGTGGAACACATAGGCAAGCAATGGGTAGAGGCTGTAATGCACAATGTGGCAGACTACGAGGCATTCAAGAAGGCATTCTTGAATACCTGGTGGTCGACTTCCAGGCAATCTCTTGTAAAGTGTATGCTCTATCAGGCGAAATATGATCGGAGATCAGGTTTGAGTCTGAGCGGACATTTTTAAAACACGTGACCATGGCTTCATACCTGGACCCAAGACCTTCGGATGGGAAGCTGATAGAAGCGATCAGGGCCCACTATCCGATAAGGGTGCAACGAGCCATGGTCACCAACCAGATGCAAACCATTGAGCAAGCCCTGGATCTTCTCAAAAGAGTGGAGCTGATGGAACAGTCCGAGAATTATCCATGCAACCCCACAATTCGACCCTAACAGGCCAGGGAACAATCCTCAAAGAAGTGACCCCAGAGGCCAAAACCAGGCTCAGGTGCGCCAGGTGCAATTCTTTCCGTCACGGAACTGTTCGAACCGGAACCAGAGACGTAATCGCCGTAGTTACTAGTCAGAGAGAGGCGGAGAACTCCCAGAGAGAAGCTCCTGCCCTCTTAACCCCAATGCAACCCCGTACCAGGGACGACAAGGTAAAAACAATCACAGTGATAACCATTCGGGAAACCGATAACTGGAGTTATTGAGGACCGGATGGTTCCCGTTGTGAGATCCCACGTATTTCTAGGTCCGCTCAAGGCATCCCAAATGGCAGGCGAACCCAGTTGTGAAGGCGAATCTGAATCTGAAACTCAAGATAACTACTTAGAGCAGGTGACTACGGGTGGTGTAGTACTGTTCATCAATGAGGCCAATATAGCAAACAGTCTTCAGGTCGAAGTTCAAGTGTTGAATAAAATTAAATTCACAGCCATTCTAGATTCTGGCAGTGAGGTTAATCTCCTATCAGAACGAATTTATGAGGAGCTAACTGAAACAGGTGTAAAAGTTCCTACCCTACCAGTTGAAGGAGTGGTTCTCGTAACAGCGTTCGGCAGGCGATCCAAGCGGATACGTCGGCAGGCCCTACTCGAATTTTCGATAGGACAAGATGTGTTCGAGACCATCTTTTTAGTTTCACCCCAGTTGAATAATGACACCATTTTCAGTTGTCAATTCCTGAAGGAGCATGGAGTTATCAGCGACTTCAACTCAGGAAAGTTCACGTATGTCCGTAACGGAACAACAAGAGAGTGGACATTTGCCACTAGGGCAGCATCGCAAGGCGCTTGCAATAATGAGTGGAGAGTTAAGAGTATCTTCCAACATTCTATCCATGTTAGCAGGTCAGCGACCCAACCCCCAAACAGCTGACTGTGCAGAACCCCCTCCCCATTCCAGAGCAGCTGAATACTGCAATGGATTCCTACCTCACTCCACCGTATGCTGCAGAGTGGCGACCAACGGCATTAGACTCGGTCTTTGGATCGACAAAGGACCACTAAACCCAGGCAGGAGCCAGGAGTTCCCGGACCCTGACGCAATGCGCGATCAGTTGTGCTCCAATGGATATTGTGTTCTAGCAAGTGAGGCAGCTTTCATAAGTAGCCCCCGCACAGAGTTCCTGCTTGTCTGAATGCCAACCCTACTTGTGAGTTAGAAGTCAACTCAATAGAGACAGCCCTGCCACATGGCCAACCCATCCACAACCCAAAACCCAGTTTCCCAGACCCCCGCTCATTATAAGCAGCCGATCTACACTCCTTAGTAGAGCAGGTGACTGATTTGTCCACAGCTGAACGAAGTGATCTATACCAGGTTCTATTCCGGTATAGAGAGTACATGACAACGCGACCTGGGAAGTGCAAGCTTTCCATCTACAAATTCCAGGTAGATACCGACCGCCCAATAGTAGGTCATTCGAGGCCAATTCCGTTTGCCCTCTGACCAGCTGTTAGAGAACAAATCCGGCAGATGCTAGTCGACGACATTATTGAGCATAGCAATTCCCCGATTCTCAACCCATTAACCGTGGTAAGCAAAGAAGGAGGGGGCATACGCATATGTGTTGTTGCCCGAATGGTGAATGAAGTCACCATCCCATACCACGAGAGAACTCTCCCTATAAATGAACTTTTGCAGAGGTTTCACGGAGACAGGTACTTTACGTCCCTAGATCTGAGTTCTGCCTATCTGAAAATAGAGTTGCACGAGGAATCTAGAAAATACACGGCCTTTATTTCCGAATCCACCGTGTATCAGTACAAAAGAGTTCCATATGGGTTCAGAAATTCATTACCCACATTCGTACGTGCCATAAAGGTAACGCTGGGAACGGATCTGGAGAACGTGGTATCCTACGTGGACGACATTTTGATACATTCCCCTACCATGAAAGATCACCTAAGACATCTTGATACCGTACTCGGTAAATTAACGAAGGCAGGCTTCACGATCAACGCCAAAAAGTGTCGCTTCTGCAAAGACGAGGTTAGGTTTTTGGGACACCGTATAGATAGGACCGGTGTATCCGCTGACCCGGATAGGGTACAATCCATCCTCAACTACCCAGCACCGGGAAACAGTAAACAGCTGAGGCAGTTTCTCGGAACCTGTAATTTTCATAGCAGATCCATCATAGGCTATGCAAATTACGTCGCACCGCTAACGCCTCTATTGAAGCAAGGTGTGAAGTGGGCGTGGACAGATGAAGCACGGGATGCATTTCTGCGCCTGCGGCAGAGTTTTGCACGCAGCATTCACCTGGTCCATCCACGTGATGACGCACCGTATGCAATTTACACTGACGCCAGCAAACTGCGGATAAGTTCAATACTAACCCAGGAAAGCGACTCCGGTGAGACGTTGGTAGTGTCCACCGCATCCAGAGTGTTGAGCCCCGTATAACAGAGGTACTCCACCTGTGAACAGGAGCTGCTTGCGGCAGTCTATGCGCTTCAGAAGTTCAGAATATTTGTGATTGTTCACTCTATCACTGTATATTCCGATAATAGAGCATTTTCGTTTCTGAAGAGGTGTAATTTGACATCTAGCCGAGTCACACGCTGGGTAATGCAGCTGCAGGAATACGATTTGAAGATTGTACACATTAAAGGCATCGATAACTTCTTTGCAGACATGCTGAGCCGCAACCCAATTGGGTTAAGCCAAGGGAGCCGCGACCAAATGTTGAAGCCGAGAGAGTTATTCGTGGCAAAGGTAGACCTGGGAACTGACAGAACACTCATGAAAGAATTAGGCAATCTGCCAGAACACCAACTCGGTGATCCCGCTTTAAATAAAATACGGGAAGAACTGGAGAGCGACCCAGAGAAATTTTCGGGCAGGTACATGGTAAGAGACAAGATCCTGTTCTGCAAAAATGACAGGAGCCATCCCTATTGGAGAATTATGTTACCCAGACAGCTAGAAGACCGAGTGATTCGGTATGTACATACGCTATTGGGACATCAAGCTACCGATAAGTGTATGTTGCAAATAGCACACACTTTCCACCTAAAGTCATTAGGAAGAAAGGTGCGGAAGTTTGTGGCACACTGTGACATTTGTCAAGGTGTGAAGCATCCCAATATGTCCTATGAGATTGAAAGAGTATCTCATCTCCCTACCAGGCCAGGAGAGCTATTAACGATAGACCTCTATGGACCTCTACCTACAGGTCGTGGTGGAGTGAAATACCTGTTGGTATGTCTGGAATTCTTCTCCAAACATGTAACTCTGTACCCACTAAAGGCAGCCACAACTAGGAGCTGTTTAAGGAAGCTCAGGGAGCACTATTCCCAAAGTGTTATCAAACCTGAGTCCATCTTGTCTGACCACGGATCGCAATTTGCGAGTCCTGCATGGCGTAAAGCACTGACCGATTTGGGCATTCAGTGCAGATACTCTCCTATTCGACACCCGGAAAGTAATCCGACCAAGCGGATTATGCGCGAACCTGGAAAATACTTTCGAATCTACTGCCACGAGACGCACAAACAATGGCCAGAACTCGTGCCATATATAGAGAACTTGTTGAATTCTTCTGTTAGCCAGTCTACAGGTTATACTCCTGTAGAACTGCTCGATGGAAATCCGAGGCCGGATATCTTCCGAAAGATACTGAAAAAGAGTGCAGACCAGTTACCCAGGGAAGATGTTTTATCTGACAAAATTCTAAAAGCCTATGCTCAGATGAAACTAAAAGCAGATCAGCGAAACAAACGACGAAAAAATGGCAAGACAAAATGGCAGCCTAGTCTTAAGGAGCTAGTGCTCGTAAAGTGCCAGCCTGTATCGGATGCAGCGCAGGGCCTTACTTCAAAATTTCAAAGACCGTTTGAGAGACCATTCATCGTTCATCGAAGAGTAAACCCCTCCATCTTCGAACTGGCAGATTCAAAAGGCATGATTAGGGGACTCTTCAACCTAAAGCATCTGAAACCCTACCTCGAGGAAAACCTCGCATCCTAAACTCCACAGACAGGACTGAAAGCGGATCCTCGGGAAAAAAGAGAGAATAAAAAGTGAAAAAGTCGTTGAAATTTCGAAATTTTCTAAATTATATCTACTAATATTGAGAAATTCCAAATGAAGTGCATGGGTTGATTGCAGCCTACCAATCCTTTCAGAAATTTTGATCCACGAACGGCACTAATTGATTCCAAGGAGGGTAACCCAACAAGAGAGAGATAGTTCATGGTTTACATTAGGTTTAAAGGGCTAGTTGCACACGAATTCAGGAGGGTCAGTCACTGAAGGAAAGTGAGAGAGGATAGTGTCTGAGAGAGACAGAGAGTAGACCAAACATTTGTAAAACGCAACCAGTCTAGGCAACCCCAGCGAATTCGATGTTACGAGTGAAGTGCAGTGTTGGTGAACCATAAAACCCCAGCTCCGGAAAAAGTGAAATTTTCTTGACGCAAGTGAATGGTGAGAGAATGAAGGACACGGAGAGACAGAAAAAAAGTGTTATGTGAGAGTTTAATTTTGTAAGTGTTGTTATAGCCAATAAGTAAGAAACTAGAATAAGGTTTAGCATGGAAAGGAACAGGATGAGGGCAAGTGTTAAAACCCTCAAACCTTGGTAATTTGTGTATGTATCCGTGGATTTGAGTGATGAGGAATGAGCGGCAACCAAACGAGATTTGGGGTCCGAAATCGATTCTCGATTCAGACCAACCCTTGCTTGGGGAGTGTAACCGAACCATTGAATTCCTTCCCCCCTCTTTTTATTTCAGTAGTTTATAAAGTAGACAGTAAGAATTACTAAGAAACATAGGTTAAGACACAGAACAAGCAGATAGACCGAACTTGCGCGGACAAGGACATCTGTTAGTTCTTGCGTCCAAGCATTTGGTGTTGCTTCGAAAAGGGCAGAAATAATACTTCATGGAACCCCCACTGAGTTTCTTTAGAAATTGAGAAGTTGAATTAGACCGGCAAGCCACTTTGAGAATTCGAGACGTGACAGTCGCAACCCGTCATAAGTCAAAAGTGGGAGTGCCAGGAGATCATTAGCGACCCCTCATAAGTTGCATCTCTGTCAATTTCGCCGTTTGGGATTTTAAGCCGAAACTACTTCTAAAACAATCGGTCATTGGCCGGAAACAATATTAAGCCAACTCCTCTTATTTGAATCCGCCTATCAGGGAATTTAGCAGGAGGAGAGAAGAGGCGGATACCATTCAGTTAGGACCTCTGGCTCGGCAGAGAGTCCAGTTTAAGATTAAGAGTCTGCTACAAAACTTTGAACTTGGCGGAAGTAAAACCCTGCGATTATACTTGCGCGTTAAGCTAAGTAATTTGAGCAAGTGCAACACCGGCTGCTTGGAAACCGAGTCTAGGCCTTATAGTGTAGATTTACACTCCAAGTGACTCTGAGAAAACAATAAAGTGTTCCAGTGGTACAGTGCATTGTGTTTGTTAGAAGTGCTTCACCCTCACTTGTCTGAGCCTGATCCTTAGGCGACCTGAGGAGACACTCATCGCCAGGAGCTAGTCAAACCCATCGCCAGCTTCCACCCACTCACCCCTTCCTTCCTTTATAATGAAATTCCAACCCCCGTAATCGGCAACGGAAGGAGGAAGCGGTGGAGTCGAAGAAGCGGTTGAGCCTGGTCAAGCCGGAACCAGTCACGCCCTAACAACTTCAACGGAGGCAGCAACAGGTAGGGCAGTCAAAGTGACAAGTGGCAACCACCTTGTGGGCAAGAAGCCTTAAAAGGGTGGGCGGTTAAAGTACTTACCTCACTGCCATACACAAAGCACACATACTGCTCAGGTTTTCCTTGAAATTTATAATGTTATCAAAACTGCTCTTCATGCAAATGATTACAGATATGAAAAATGGATACAGTTCCCTTGTCCCCATTTGCAGGATCCTGCTATTTAATGTCTTCGCTCATCTTGATGTTCTCTTCATATGGATTCAAGCACCAAGTATGAGCAATATCTACCAAGTGAACAGTTTCTTCCTTATTTTAATTATGTTCTCATTTTTTGTGCATATGATATGACAGTTGAGAAAATGTGAGAATAGTCAAGCGGAATCCAGTAAAGTGGCCATACAGAGTAAAAAATTTGCAAATGAAATGGAAATAATCATCAGACATGATCATGGAAGTGAATATTTTTTAAGGCCCCTAGATTGTTGTTCTTATTTTATGCACATGTGCGTGCACGAACACACACTTAATAAAATGGGATATATTTGAAAGACACTGCACTGAGAGCTGCTAGTTTCAGCTCTACCTCATCAAGTGTTCACCTGGCACTGTTAAAGGTAAAGCTGCCCCTGTAACAGGCAGTGGAGGGCCATTGTGTTGTGAGAGTTTGAGGCTCCCACGTTTTCTGGACAATTGGCTCACAGATGGAGGTAAGGTTGTCAGCCTTATGAACCAGCTGCTCTTTACATCCCAGGAAGAATCCTGGGATTCATTTCTGTTAGAGGCTGAGTCAACCCCAGGGCCATAGTGTGGCTGGAAGGATTAGGTCAATTGAAAAGTCCAATGACCTCATTGGGATTCGAATCCTTGACCTTCTGGCTTGTAGAAAAGTGCCTCACCTAATTACACTACTGCATATACTTAGCACTTTTAACAGCAGTAAATGAAGAGAATGAAGATTATGAAGATGTCATTGCACAAAATTCATATCGCTTGACAGGATTCTGTAGCAATGCAACCCTTGACAGCTTAACTCATGTGTGTGTCAGATTCCAGAATGCATGGTCATAATGAAGCAATTTAAAGTGATATAGTCTAAGACCAAGGGCTTTCAATTATTGCGGCATTTTAAAATAACGAAAAGATTTTTCATAATGTTGTATTTTAGCGTTCTGTTGCACTGATTCTCATCTATAATATTGTGACATGTTGAGCTATGGATGACGCTCCTCCCCCCGCCGGCCGAAGTGAGCCGAGCGGAGCCGAAGTTAGCCGAGTCCCAGCATCCTGGTAGCTATTCAACGCGAGTCAACAGCGGTGACGTCACCAAGGGGTAACGCGGTCGCTAGGCAGCGCGGGTAAACAATGGTTGCGAGAGACGACGGTAGTAACAGCGGTACACAGCGTTGCTAGCACGACGGCACCAGACATAGTGGTGCCTATTACTTGGCCGTTTTCTGTATTGTCCGATCGAGGCTACACAAGGAGCAGCGAAGGCTATTCACAGTTAGTTCACAAGGTAGCTACCTACGAGTTAGTTCCGAGCAAGCCTACGAGTCAGAGTGTGTTATCAACAGTCCTCAAGGCAGCAGCTTGCGAGCAGAGTTGGAATCTAGCCAGCGGGGTGTTACGAGTGAAAGTGTGTAATTCAGGGAGACTTTCATAGCTCCCATGTTATTAGTACGTGAAGACTCTTCAAGATAGTGTTAAGATATTTTGTTGTAGGGTTTGTAAAGTGTGGAAACCCGTAACATTGTAATAATTAATTATAGCCGTTTCTTGTAGATTGTTGAATAAACCAATTAACGATCTCTACGGCGTATTCTGTAACGAAACACGTTACAATATGTATGTAATGGCCGTCTTGTAGTGCACTCAGTTTCACATGGCACTTCAGTACATGTTTTGGCAACATTGTGTAATCCTCAGGTGCTTTATTTACGCCAAGCTCGCAGCCAAAGAGGAAGGACACATCACAAGACACAGTACACAAAAAATATAAGAAAAACGACTCTCATAGTGGAAGAACCATACAATACGTGAGTTTGAATTAAGACACATAAGATGAATAATCTTAACAATTTTTAGTGTATACAAATTTTATTATAGTTGATGAGGAATGTACATTTTAATAATTTTATGAAAGACACATGATGGCAAGCAATGCAATAGCGTAGCGTAAATAAAGCACCTGAGGATGGCACAATGTTGTCGAAACATGTAGTGAAGTGACATGTGAAACTGAGTGCATTACAAGACGGCCATTACATACATATCATGAAAAAGATTTTTCACTTGCTAAGGTGCAAACAGAAAAGACTTAGCCAAATATGAAATGTTCCGAAAATCTGATTTTTCTTGAAAGTCCGAATTTAGTAACAAATTCAGAGCAATGGCACTTGTGTAATCCGGGCCATTCATTATAAAATAATTATGTTGGACATAATCTTAAGTGTATTAAGTTATATGACACTTTGGAAGCAGGATCCGATTCCACCATTAAGCAAATTACTTGGCCTGTAGACAGCGACTACTTTGGTGGGAAAGCCATTTTGTGAGGGATCGTACTAAATTCTGTCCATGGGTTCTAATAACTCTGGGCAAAGTCAAAGTCATGTTGCAACTGACGGTCAATCAGTCTGTCTGTCTTGGTGTCGGGCCCCAGCTGGGACTCATGACCAGATGGTTTCTTCTTTGTGAAAGTTGCTGTCCTGTCTACTGGGGGCGCCTCTCAGATGAGAGGTCGGTTCTGTCATTTGTCAGTCATAGTCAGTCTATTGTCAGCATTTACATATATTTACAATTTAATAGTAGACTTAATTTCTTCTTCTATGTATTATATATACAAGGCCCCTGTCAGTCCAGGCTCAGTACAGCAGATTATGTCCTATTTCTAGATGTATTCGCTACCACGGCGGTCTATTCACTTGAAGGGTCATATGCCTGACCGCCGCCAAGTTTAAGCCTCTTATACTTTCTGTGGCGGGCTTCGCCTTGTCAGATGTTGCGAACATTCTCATTATCATGATTTTGTATGACTTCTGCTTGTTGCCTGCATAATTTTGTTATAAAGTCATATACGTACGGGATTTTGAATGCCATGTGCAAATCGCGGACCGGTGTGCGCCTTGGAAAATTGCCAATCGTGCGGAGAACCTTGTTTTGCAGGCGCTGCAATTTCACTAGATGAGTGTCTGCCGCAAACTCCCAGGCGGGACTAGCATAAGTCATTACGGATCTAATAAGAGCTTTATGGAGGGTCAGTTTAATGTTAGCGCTCAATCGCTCACTTTTGAATAAGGAATA